CTGCAATGTTTAAAATCTTCTTTCAACAACAAAGTTTCTTTAGAATATGCATTCAACGCTACATTGCGTGGAAATAGCAATCTTTCGGCGCGTTCATCGGAAATGACATTTGGTGGCGGCACATGTCGCACCACCATTTCCAGCACAGTGCGATCTATGGGCAACCACTGTCCGAAAACAGTTTTTATTTGTACTTTGGGATCCGAAATACGTAAATCACGAGCCTGTAATTTTATACCCAATTTCTCTGCGATAATCGGTAATTTTTCCTTATCTTTGCGTACTGCTATGATATCATATAGACTCCAGATATTTTCTAAAACGAATTGCACAAACATAGGTTTCTTAGCCTTTTCTTGTGCACCGGCAAGTGCATATTTCTGTTTGGTGTTGTAGAAAAAATCACCCCAGAGAACTTGTTCGAGATCTGATTGCGTCATTTCTAAACGTTTTGAATATATTTTGGCGAAATCGCTCACCGAGAAAGCCCAACCATCATAAGCGGAACAAAATATGACATTACCGGCAGCTGGAGAAAAATATAAATTTGAATCGTCGACTTCTTCCAATGCAGACTCATAGTTGTCCTGTAAGTATAATGATTATTAATATTTAATTAGTATTTATAGTATACGCGGTGTTTGTTATAAGTCAACAAGTATACCTTTTTCGTTATATCCTCCTTCGAAAGCACATCGGAGGCAAATATGCTACCGAGCACAGCATTCACCTGCTCTAAAATTTGCGATATATGAAAGTAAGCATCTAATGGCTTAAGCTGCATTTCCATTATAAGCCGGTCAATTTTATTTAAAACCAGAACGGGCTTTAGTTGTTCTGTATAAACTTGTTCTAAGCATGCGCGCGTTTGTGGGCAAACACCTTCGACCACATCAACCTTAAATGGTGATGAAACACTGGCATTTTATTCATCTACAGCAATCTTCGCATTACTTACCACAACAATGGCGCCATCACACAAGCGCACAGCTGTTGAAACTTCACTGGAAAAGTCCACATGTCCCGGTGAATCAATCAAATTAACGAGATAGTCTTGCTCGTTGTCAGCATGGTCAGCGCCGCCACGGTAATATAGCGATATACTGCTGCTCTTCATAGTTATGCCACGTTCCTGCTCATCTTGACGAGTGTCCAGGTAGCGCAGCTTACCTGCCATACGTTGTGAAATTATGCCATTGCTGGCTACAAGTGAGTCAGCAAGTGTTGTCTTGCCATGATCTACATGTGCCAAAATGCAAATATTGCGCACACGTTCAATGTCTTTTTGGAGTTTCACCAAGGTATTTGTGTCTATAATAGGCATTTTAATCACTTTTGTTATGACTTCTCAGGTGTTTTCTATCGCGCTCAAGAAATACAAATGAAAACGAAAGCGCTATGCCGCCAAAGTTAAACCGCACGTGTTTGTTTACTATTGTAGGTAGCTATTTCGTAAATAAGCGCAAATTCCACTACACCCCTTGTCCAATAAGTAAAAGATTGTCGCTTCCAAACAGATTCCAGACGTTCTCTGCAGATTCTTTTGTTTACATCTCATTTGTGAAATGGGAACCAGAGAACGTAAATTTACGCTCTCTGTGGGAATCGCAAGTATTCACAATAGCGATCAATTTATTTTCGGTGGTATTTCGCCTGAGAATGAAAATAATTAGGGGATTCCCTTGAACGCGCAATTGTATCGAAAACCTGGAAACTTTTCATCCACGAAAAAAAACTATAGAAGATGTTACGGAAGGCGCATTTCAAGTACCTCGGATACTTATGAGGCACACTTGTCGAGAAAACAGCTTCGAAACGCCATTTGGAAGTTCAAGTGCTGCGTTTTGATACAATATACATTTTTTTATTTATTTATTTTTTAATGCAGCTTTTGCATTTAATTCAGCTGATACGATGTATTGTAGAAAGAAAATCTAACTGCATTGAATTTCTGTATTTTGGCATTGTTTAAGAGGGATTTGGTGATTTTCAAATGTATGCTTGGCAGCCTTGTTAAATATGACGGATCAGCTGATCAAATGTCAAAAGTTGCTGACGTTAATTTTGCACGTTGCTGCATTGCAATCGTTTTTCTTTTCACGAAATTTTCCAGGTCAAATTGCAGAAGACTTATTAACTCATAACTATAAATAAAAATCAGACTGTGTGCGGCCACGCTTCGTAAAAATGGTTGAATTAACTCCGGAGGAAAAAAAGCAGCTGATAACCCGTAATCTACAGGAGACACTGGGCGAGGACAAGCTTAATGCTATACTCAAGGAGCGTGACCTGAAAATCTACTGGGGCACAGCTACTACAGGCAAGCCACATGTAGCATATTTCGTGCCTATGTCGAAAATTGCCGATTTCCTCAAGGCCGGCTGTGAGGTAAAGTAAATTCGCGGAAACTATTCACATATAGAATCACTCAACGTTGGTTGAGTCATTTTATCACACCTTTCATTGTTTATTTTCTTTAAAGGTCACTATTCTTTTTGCTGACTTACATGCCTACCTTGATAATATGAAAGCGCCATGGTCGCTGCTCGAATTGCGTACACAATACTATGAAGCTGTTATAAAGGCTATGTTGAGCTCAATAGGTGTGCCATTAGATAAGCTCAAATTTGTTAAGGGTACCGACTATCAGCTGTCGAGAGAATATACGCTGGATGTGTACAAATTAAGTTCGGTGGTGACGCAGCACGATGCAAGAAAAGCCGGCGCCGAAGTTGTAAAGCAGGTAGAATACCCATTACTTTCGGGTTTGCTGTACCCAGGCTTGCAAGCTTTAGATGAAGAGTATCTCAAAGTAGATGCACAGTTTGGAGGCGTTGATCAGCGTAAAATTTTCACTTTCTCTGAAAAATATTTGCCACAATTGGGCTATGAGAAACGTATTCATTTCATGAATCCCATGGGTAAACAAATTCTTTATGATAGTCAAAACTAGTATTTTAATTATATTTGAAATATTGCAGTGCCGGGTTTGGCAGGCGGCAAAATGTCTTCTTCGGAGGAGGATTCTAAAATCGACCTTTTAGATTCGCCCGCAAATGTGAAAAAGAAGTTGAAGAAAGCTTTCTGCGAGCCCGGAAACATCGCAGACAATGGGCTTTTGTCGTTCGTAAAGCATGTGCTGTTCTCGCTATTTAAGGATGGTGAAGGTATGTATATATTGAAATATATGTACATACAATCATTAAATAAAAATTTCAGCTTATATAATTTATCATCATTTCTTTCAGGATTTTCTGTTAACCGTCCGGCGGAATTCGGTGGAGATGTTACATTCCATAACTACGCTGACTTGGAGAAATATTATGCCGACAACGAATTACATCCAGGGGATTTGAAAGCATCCGTTGAAAAAATACATCAATAAACTTCTAGAGCCAATAAGAAAAACATTCGAAAGTCCTGAGTTGCAGTATGTACATTTCATTGATTTAAACTGCGTTTCAAATAAAAAATTGTTTCACATAGAAAACTCAGTGCAGCTGCCTATCCAGCGCCAGGTAAAGCGAAAGGCGGAAATACTACGAACAATGCAGTAACAGTAGAGGAGGATGGTCCACACCGTCTGGACATACGAGTTGGCAAGGTCGTGGAAGTTGCTCGTCATCCGGATGCAGATACTTTGTATGTATTAAAAATAGACTTAGGTGAGGCACAACCACGTACCATCATAAGCGGATTGGTAAAATTTGTCACAATCGAAGAACTGGATCAGCGATTAGTGGCGGTGCTGTGCAATCTTAAGCCATCTAAAATGCGTGGTATACTGTCCGAGGGCATGGTACTATGCACGTCGAAGTAAGTAAAGATAGCAGTGGTAATATAGATTAGATATACATATAAGTTCGCATTTGAACAGCGCTGATCACACTGTTGTGGAACCTATTATTGTGCCAGTCAGTGCCGCGCCTGGTAGTCGCTTGGCGTTCGAAGGATACCACGGCACTCCGGACGAGCAATTAAATCCCAAAAAGAAGGTACACTTCTTGAATCACCCGTTTATAGCTAGAGATATAATGTTGGTCTTGTTTGTTAAAGGTTTGGGAAAAGCTTTCTGTAGATTTGAAAACAAATACCGATGGTGCTGCCGTTTGGAAAGAGAACTTCCTACTCACACCCGAAGGCGAAAAGCTGACAAGCAAATTAGCAAACTGCAATATTAAATAAATAGAAATATAATAAACTAATTATGCATTGTCATGCCAGTTAAAGCTCTTATATGGCGTAATTCTTAAAGTTTGTAATTCTCAGCGATTACGCAGCGTTCTAAATATTTATTTGCATTTTTTTTTTTTTTTTGATATGTAGCACAATAAACAAGAAACGCTTTCAATAGCGAAGAAATCAGATATCTAGTTTTTTTATTTTACCTATATGTACATATGTATGTACCTACGTTTAAGTTAATTAATCGTTTTGAAAACAGTGGGAGGGAATTGTTGAAATATATCCTCATTCGAGATCTCATATAGCAGGAGCATTTGCGCGGGTGAGATTAATCAAAAATTTGGATTATATGGATATATTTATCTATGTATGTATAGCACATTAAGAGGTTATTAAGCTTTAATTAATGTGATATCTATTTATAAATCCTTATTAAACTACATGGATAATTTTGTCAAATTGTGCAAGAGTTCACAAGCCAGTTAACAGTATTAAGCGTTTAATGCAATAACTTACTGTATACATCTTTTTTCTCCAAAAAAAATTTTAACACAACACTATTATTTGAACATTTGGTTATTTTTTATGAGAAAAAATAGTCTTTCAACTCAGGTTTAAGATTTTATATGGTAAAGTGGAAAATATCACTTCCTTCCGTGCAACCGCAAAAAAAAAACTGACGCTTCCGTTCAAGGCGGGAATCTATTGTGATCTTTTAGTTAAAGCTCAGAGAACGTAAAGTATACGTAAATTTACGATATCTGTTAGATACGCAATCAGCTGTTCTCATACTTATCTTCCGCTTTCCACAAATTCGGACCGGCATTGACAAAGGATTCATTTTTGATTGTGATCTCCAATTTGAACTAATTAATTGTTGTCTATGTATTCCAAACGAACCTTGCTAACCATCTTAACGCAGCACAGTATCCGGGCTTCCAGGCGATGGTCACATGACGAGGTACGTGTACGTTTCGCACCAAGTCCAACAGGTTAGTTTGAAATTTGTAATAAGCTATATTTAGTATGTAGTAATTTTATGACATAAATTTGTTTCAAGGATATCTGCATTTGGGTGGACTCCGTACAGCATTATACAATTATTTGTATTCACGAAATAAAAATGGCAAATTCTTGCTACGCATAGAGGACACAGATCAGACGAGACTCGTGCCGGGTGCTACAGAAAGTTTGATTGAAAATTTAATGTGGGCGGGAATAAAAATAGACGAAGGTCCAGGATTTGGTGGTGAACAGGGTCCTTACGTGCAAAGTGAGCGTAAGCAAATTTATTTGTAAGTAGAATTAATAAATTTTGTATTAGAATCTATTATTATTCAAGTTCCCTTGTAGAGAAGCTGTACGCGAACTGCTTGAAAATGACACCGCCTATCGTTGCTTTTGCACCGAACGTCGGTTAGAACTTTTGCGTAAGGAAGCAATTCGAACGAGACAAGTCCCACGCTACGATAATAAATGCCGCTATCTAACACCACAGCAAATAGCCGTTTTATTAGCGAAAAATACTCCATATTGCATACGATTTAAGCTGACAGCTCATGAAGAGCCTCTCCAGGACTTGATCTACGGGCCGGTAACGCACAACGTCAGTGAAAACGAAGGTGATCCAGTTATCATGAAAAGCGATAACTTTCCCACATACCATTTTGCGAACGTGGTAGATGACCATTTGATGGGTGTAACGCATGTCTTTCGCGGCGTTGAATGGCAAATATCGACAACGAAGCATTTACTACTCTATAAGTAAGGGTGTCCTATTGTCGCC